ATATGTGAAACACCCGGTAACGGGTGTGTGCATTTAGCGGGTCTTTTCTGCCCGTGCGTGCCCGCTAGGGGGCGCGCGCGAGCAGAAAAAAATTGCCGTCTGGAGACGGCAACCCGCAGATGCTGCAGTGCCGTCCGTCCGTTTTTTTACTACGGGCGGACGGCAAGAGGTTAAAAAGACAGGATACATAAAAAGGTTCATTATTGCTGCATTTCCTAACTGGATTGACAGAACTAGACCTGATACATGATTTTCTCCGGACTGGATAATACCTATGTAAGATTGCTTCTAGGGATGCACAGATACTTTTCGAGTACCAGTGCAGATACTTGGCATTTTCATGAGAACTACCAGGGTTGCAGCAATTGCATCTGGGACCTGGCTCTGGCACTCCACCACTGTCCTGAAATCATTAGTCTGTATTGTTTTAGAAAAACTGTCACATGACCATAAACAAAAATGTATCAGTACTCGAACTTGTAAGTACTCGGCAAGTACCAGTACTCGTACTCGCAAAACTGGTATCTGTGCATCCCTTTATTTATATTTATAAAAACAAAACCGTACATTAAAACAGAGATGTACAAATGCCAGGAGCTCCATGTGCTCCTTACAAATGACAGCTGCCTCCTAATTTTTGAATTTTTCTCTAGTGTAGTCTTGGAGCTCAAAAGTATCGGTACGTGTACTCGTACTTGTACCGAGTACTGTACTTGGTATCTGTGCAACCCTAATTGCTTCTAACATTATGTCATTGAGTAACATTATGTCATCATGACCATTTGTAAGTTCAATGTGCACCAATATTTAGCGGGGACAAAAACAGACCTGAAGCAATGTCTGCATTTTTGTAATTCTAGCAAGTCAACAAAAATATGCAATTTAGTACAGTAATACCTTGGTAAGTAACTTGGTTTGAAAGTGTTTTGCAAGACAAGCAAACATTTCTGAAAAAATTTGCCTTGATATACAAGCAAATGTCTTGCAATAAGAGCAACATTTTATAGAAAAGCACCACGCGAATAAGGCTGTAGCAGTGCGAGCGATGAGTCTAGGGCTGCAACAACTAATCGACATAATCGATTATTGAAAAAGTTGTCAACTTTTTCAATAATCGATTAATCGGCTTCCGATCAGTTGGCCCTGTTCACGGCTCCACACGCACTGCGCGCCGCACCTCCTCCCCACCTCATGCTCGCCGCTGCCAGACCCGCCCGCCCGCATCCACGATCTTCACGCCGCACCTCCTCCGCGCCTCACTCTCACCGCCCGCCCACATCCACGATCGGCACAGGGACGCGGGGAGATGTAGTAAGGAGG